TCGCGCTGCGTGGCGACGGCGCAGAACACCGCCGAGCAGGAGGCCGTGACGCGCGCAGCGCGCCTGAACAAGGGCGCAGGCTCCATCGACCACGCCGCCAAGCGAGTGGCGAAGTTCCGTGCGAGCTTCGACTACATCAAGGAGGGCATGGACGTGCTGGTGGGATTCGCGCTCTCCGAGGAAGGCTTGCTTGCCCTGCGGAGGTCAACGGAGGGCGTAGGGGTGGGCATCGATCCCGAGAGCACGGGTGCCCCCCCAGCCACGGAAGCGGTGGCGGAGGAGGTCGGTCGCCCGATGGCGATGGAGGTGGGGGTGGTGCCGGGGCCGCCCCGTGCGCCACCCCCACCCCTCGAGGATGGACCTCCCCGTGACGAGGAGAACGACCCCCAGCCCGACATCGATGCTGAGGACCAGGGGCACCAGCTGACCGACGTCAAGACCGTGGAGGAGGTCACGGACATCGAGCCCCTGCTGCGGCTCGGCCTCTCCAAGAAATCGCTGAAGCGTATGGCGCGGGCCTATGGCGTCCTCAAATTCGAGACCATGCGCACCCACATGCTGGGAGGCCTGGGGCCCATCCTGGAGAAGAAGGAGGACATGGTGAGGGGCGCAGAGGCGCAGGACGGAGTCCAGAAGTGGCTCGACGCGCTGAATGAGGAGGCAGAGGAGGATGTGGGAAGACTGAAGAAGGGCGTCCTGGAAGCCTCGGGGATCGCGGACGCACACCTGGGACACAAACGTGCCTGGAAGGAGGAGTGCCAGGGCAACGCCGCGGCGCAGGAGGCCTACCGACGCATGGGCGACTACACGGACCAGTTCTACCGTGGCAAGGGCTTCACGTTCAACATGTACTACAAGTGCTCGGCCAACAAGACCTGGGACAACCCCAGGGGTTGCTGCTCGGTGATCCGATCGGATCGCTGGACGCAGCTGCTCACCTGCGCGCAGGAGGCGGCGGGGGGGGGGCGGGCCAGCGCTGGTGCTGCCACTGTGGTGCGCGCTACTCGACCTCCTATGGCGTCTGCATCGGGTTGATAGAGGAGGGGCTGGCCCCGCAACGTGCGTACTACATGCACGCGGAACGCCCCGAGGAGGACATCCGCGATTTGAAGGCCCTGCTGCGCTACGACAAGCTCAAGAAGGAGGAGATACCTGTGTTCAGCGCGGTGGACCTCCTGCAGTACCTGCCCAAGGTCGAGCCGCTGGCAGTGGGCACCGTCTTCAAGCGCTACGCTCCACACCAGCCGCAGTGGGAGGGCCACTATGCGCTGATGGAGGGGCTCTCCTGCGAGAGCCTGGCCGAGTTCAAGTGGACCGACCTGTGCGCGCAGGTCGCCTAGGGACTGAACGACCCAGAGTGGGCGGGCCACAGCAAGAAGTCGCGGAATAAGGCCAAGAGGGGGCGCCTGGAGATGGTGCGCAGGGAGCTGGCGCCCTACGAGCGCCGCCACAACCTGCGGGAGGGCAGCCTCACGGGCGGCGGGGGTGGCACAGGGGTCGCCCCGCGCGCCGCCCCCGCCCGCGCCGCCAGCGCCCCTCCAGCGGGGGGGGCCCGCGGCAGCCAGGACCCGCCACCACCGCCTGTCGGGGCCCCGCCAGCGGCCATCATGGCCCCTCCGCCGCCGCCGCCGCTGACGGCCCCCCCAGCGGCGCCGCCGCCGCCGACGGACCCGCCGCCGCAGAAGGACCCGCCCCCGCAGCAGATCCCAAATGTTGCAGCCTTGAACGTGGCCCTCGGCGAGGATCTCGAGCGCCAGATCTTTGGGCCCTCAGGGCAGGCGGGCGGCAGTGGCGACCTGGGGGGGGGGGGGGGAAGTGCAGGCGCTGCCGTCGCAGGTCTTCGCAGCCATTGCGCAGGGAGCAGGCCAGCCCGCCTGAATGATGAAGCCCAGCAGGTTCCATGGCTTCGGCAGGCCACATGGGCCCGTGCCAAGATTTCGTGCCTGCCACTTTTAGTGGTGCGGCGTGCCCACAGTGGCACCCCCCTCGCGTGGCAGCACCTGTGGCTTTAGCCTCCGCTCTGCGTACGGTCAGCCGTGCGCTTAGCTACTCTGGCCCGCCAACTGGCTTGCCATCTTGGCCTCCTCTCACGCTCACTTGCGCTCGTGAGCCTCGCTGGCGGTGCTGGGGCCGCCCCGTGTGCTGCCGCGACGCCGTTGGGCGCCTTGCCATGTTGGCTTGCCATCCTGGCCTCCTCTCGCGCCTTCTTGCGCTAGTTGGCCTCGATGGCGGTACTGGGGTCGCCCCGTGTGCTGCTGCACCGCCGCTGGCGCTTCGCTTTGGGCCGTAGGGGCCAGCCGCCCTCGGTCAAGCGCCTGCCGCTGCATGCACATCAGACCCGCCCTTGGCTTGCCATCCTGGCCTCTTCTCGCGCCTTCTTGCGCTAGTTGGCCTGGATGGCGGTGCCGGGTCGCCCCGCGCGCTGCTGCATGCACGTCAGACCCGCCCTTTCACCCAGAAGAGGTGCCCGCTACATACTGGCAATGAGGCAGCCACAAGGACGCTCTTCCCAAGGTGGTTGAGCCGTGGTGATGTTGTGCACGAGACCGCCAGTAGTGGTAGTAGCAGTAGTAGTAGTAGTAGTAATAGTAGTAGTAGTAGTAGTAGTAGTAGTAGTAGCAGTAGTATTAGTAGTAGTAGCAGTAGTAGCAGTAGCAGTAGTAGTAGTACGTTGTGTAGTAGTTGTAGTAGTGGTCGGAGATGTAGTAGTAGTAGTTGTTGTTGTTGGTGTCGCAGTCGTAGTAGTAGTAGTTTCAGTCGCCGTAGTAGTACACAGTGTAGTAATTCAAGTAGTAGTAGTAGTAGTAGTAGTAGTAGTAGTAGTAGTAGTAGTCGTAGTCGTAGTCGTAGTCGTAGTAGTAGTAGTAGTAGTAGTAGTCGTAGTAGTAGTAGTAGTAGTAGAAGTAGTAGTCGTGGTGGTGGTTGTGGTATTGGCCGTAGTCGTAGTAATAGGAGCAGTCGTAGTTGTAGCAGTCGCAGCAGCACCATGAGTAGTAGTAGTAGTAGCCGTAGCAGCAAATAATAGCCAGAGTCATCCTGGTAGGATTCGTAATATCATAGGCGTCGTGGTAGTAGTAGTAGTAGTAGTAGTAGTAGTCGTTGTAGTCGTAGTAGTAGTAGTAGTAGTAGTAGTAGTAGTAGTAGTAGTAGTAGTAGTTGTAGACGTACTAGTAGTCGTAGTTAGAGTGGTCGCACTAGTAGTAGTAGGTAGTAGGTATTAGGCGAGTATGAAGTAAGTGCTATAGCATTCGTAGTAGCAGTAGTGGTAGCCGTAGTAGTAGTAGTAGTAGCAGTAGCAGTCGTAGTAGTAGTAGTAGTAGTAGTAGTAGTAGTAGTAGTAGTAGTAGTAGTAACAGTAGTAGTAGAAGTATTAATAGTAGTAGTAGTAGTAGTAGTAGTAGTAGTAGTAGTCGAATACGGATCCTACGAACCTCGCTTATTTCTATTCGAAGGAGCAGCAGCAGCAGTAGCAGTAGTAGGAACAGTGGTAGCCGCAGCAGCAACAGTAGTAGTAGTAGTAGTAGTAGTGGCATCTGCAGTAGTTGTAGTAGAAGTAGAAGTAGTAGTAGTAGTAGTAGTAGTCGCCGTCGTAGTAGTAGTAGTGGTAGTAGCAGCAGTAGTAGTAGTAGTAGAAGTAGTAGATGTAGTAGCAGTGGTAGTAGTAGTAGTAGTTGTAGTAGTAGTAGTAGTAGTAGTAGTATTAGTAGTAGTAGTAGTAGTAGTAGTGGTAGTAGTAGTGGTAGCCGTGGTAGCCGTGGTTCGTAGTTTGTGGATGGTAGCTCGCAGCTGGTAGCTAGTAGTTCGTACTCAGCAGTGTGCCATTTGTCACCGTAGTAGTAGTAGTAGTAGTAGTAGTAGTAGTAGTAGCAGTCGTCGTAGTCGCCGTCGTAGTCGTAGTCGTAGCAGTCGTAGTGGTAGTGGTAGTGGTAGTAGTAGTAGTAGTAGTAGTAGTAGTAGCAGTAGTCGTAGTAGTAGTAGTAGTAGTAGTAGTAGCTGTAGTAGTAGTAGTCGTAGTCGTAGTCGTAGTAGTAGTAGTAGTAGTAGTAGTAGTAGCAGTAGTAGTAGTAGTAGTAGTAGTAGTATTTGCAGTGGTAGTATCAGTAATACTAGCAGTAGTAGTGGTCGTAGTAGTAGTAGTAGTAGTAGTAGTAGTAGTAGTAGTAGTAGTAGTAGTAGCAGCAGTAGTAGTAGTAGGAGTAGTAATAATAGTAGTAGGAGTAGTAGTAGTAGTAGTAGTAGTAGTAGTAGTAGCAGTA